CAAAGGAGAGGACACCTGTGGGAAAGAGGAAATTTTGCTGAGCTTTCATACCAAAGGGGTCTCTGCAGGGTTTGAAGGGTTCAGAGTACCTGGAGGGTCAAGTTGAGACATTCTGGAAGCATCAGAGTGGAGAATGAACTCAAGGCCTGCCAAGTGTAAGCACAGCAGGAAACTGGTTTTGGATTAACCATCAAGATAAATTATCATGCAACAGTCAGGAGCACTGACTGAGCTGCACCTCCACTCTTGGCCCTGTTCCAGAACTTCAGTCGTGGAAGACAAGGAAGGGCTCTGCCCCCAAGAGTTCTGGTCTCCACAGTTTACTCTCTTCAACTAGCAATGCTTACCACAGTGGTTCCTGGAGCTTAGTGATCTACGGCCACCTGGGCCCTACCGCAGACCCACAGCCAAAATCTGGAGGGAATGGGGCTTAGGAATGTATGTCTTTTTAAAAGATGCTCAGGGTGTTGTATTCAAGTTGCGAGCGAAAGGAATCCCCGAACACTGAGAGCGGTTTGATGGTAAATTTATTGGCCAAGTTTTACCTGCGCAGGGGCGAACTTCCCGAACGAGACCGTAGTCTCGCCGGCTACGCAGAGCCGCCAAAGTGGAAGTCGCGCCTGGCTTACAGAACTACTGGGTTTTTATAGGGGCAGGCAAGCAAGCAAGCAAGGGATACAGAAGCAGATGTAGCGGTTAGCTATTGGCTCAATCAAACTAAGGCAAAAGTTCCTGATTGGACTGCTGTTGGCGGGCAGCTGGTGTTGGCGCCTAAAAATTTCCTGGCCTTATTTGGACAGGCCTCTATATGCTAGCCTTACTCGGACAGGCCTCTACACTCCCTCCTTCTCTTTCTTATTAGTCAAACCCTTGACTCATGCTCCTCTTGAGGGAGGATTGTATAGGGCTGAGACAACACCATAAGTTTTACTGTTTCTATTTTATCTTTAATAAAATTTATGAGCTTGTTTAGAATTATTGGGCCTATGGTCAGGGCTAATAGGAGGATGATCAAGGGACCGGCTAGAGCCGATATCAATGTATTTAGCCAAGGGGAAGTCTTAGATAGGGAAGAATACCAGGAGGACGACTCATCCTCCTGTTCTCTACTTTTAAGTCGTCTAGTGAGTGCTTTTACACTTTCTCTAATTATTCCTGAGTGGTTGGCATAGAAACAACAATCTTCTCCAAGTGCTGCACATACTCCTCCTTGTTGCAGGAATACTAGATCTAACCCTCTTCGATTTTGGAGTGCCACTTCTGCTAGGGAGTCTACTTGGCGCTCTAAATATTCTACTTGCTCTTGGAGTAAGGAGACATCTTTGGAGAAAGTCTGTGACAAGGCCCTGAGACTGTTTTCCCCATGGATCAGTGCTCCTGCTCCTACAGCAGCCGACCCTACGACACCGATAGTGGCGACGATGGGAATTAGCAATGGGACTCCGCTTGGCTCGAATGGGGGCACGTATCAGAAAATCAGGGTTTCCCCCATATAAGTACACTTGGGGAATGATGTAAGCACTAACACATAGCTCAGGGTTAGTTGGTACTAGACACTTGAAGATACCTTGAGTGCAGACAAACCACAGTCCTTCTGGAGCTAATGTAATAGTCAAATTCCTAGGGTCTCCCGGCAAGTGCTCTTGGTTAAGGCAATAGTCACTATAGTTTGAGGCTGCAAGGGTATAGTTCGCCAGCAAATAACAGGTGCCTCGCCCATGGAATTCTGCTAATGTAAGGGTACTTTCAAATGTACACTGTTGGAAGTCCTTCATTTGGTCCTGGTCCGGGTTCTCGGGAAGGGGTTTTGTCTGGATCTGGTCGGACCCGCCATGTTCGTGATTCTTCCTCTGGTGGTTGGGCAGTCTTAATGTGGGACAGATGGATCCAGTAGGATTTCTCCGCCACCCGTACAGCGGAGGGAGTGCTTAACAGTACCTGATATGGTCCCGTCCAGCGAGGTTCTAAATTTCCCCTCCGATGATTAAGGATCTATACCCATTGTCCAGGCTCCGGCTGTCTAGGCCTTTCTCCCTTTATTTCCTCAGATTCTTGGCGTTGGGCTTGTTGGAAGGCGCGCACCTCACCTCGGATCCCTTGCAGCGCCTGTAAGGACTTGAGGAAATTATAGTTAGACACCTCTATTTCTTCTGTGGACAACTTAGGGATTAAGGGTACTGGTTGCCCATACAATATTTCATAGGGCGTCTACCCTTTAATGTACGGGGTGCACCTTATCCGGAAGAGGGCGAAAGGGAGCAGCTCTACCCAATTTTCGCCGGTCTCCTCTTTTATTTTCACTAAAGTTTCTTTTAGTGTCTTATTCATCCTTTCTACTTGTCCTGAACTCTGTGGCCTATAAATACAATGGAGTTTCCAATCGATACCTAATCTACTAGCCAATTCTTGTGAAATTTTGGAGACAAATGCTGGTCCATTATCAGACCCTATAGCTATTGGTATCCCATACCTGGGTATGATCTCTCTTACTAAGATCTTGCAGACCGTGGAAGCAGTCTCTCCCTTAGTGGGAAGGCCTCTACCCACCCGGAGTAAGTATCTACTAGAACTAGCAGATACTTATATCCTGATTTTCCTTTAGGCATTTCGGTGAAGTCAATCTCCCATAGTTCTCCTGGGGTGCTCCCTCGGTGCCTCACGAAGCGGGGCAACTTCTGATTCTGGGCGTTTACCTTTGCGCAAGTCTTGCATCGAGAGGTGACGGAGTGTATCACCTCCCTCAGGTGTGGTCCCAGGTAATGCTTCCTAATTAACTGTTCTATTTTGTTCTGCCCTAAGTGGGTACTAGTATGAATGTCCTGGACAATTTTTGTTAGTACCCCTTGTGGTAAATATAACTTAGTATTTGGGAGTATTATCTATCCATTTTCGTTTTTTTATCCCTCCTAGTTTTGCCCCTTCTTGCTCTTCCTCTGGGGAGTACGCGGGCTTTGGGGCAGGTCCGGCTGAGGGAACCAGGGGGTAAACTACTTTCTTGGTCCGTGGCGGCTTCCCCTAGCGACAGCATCGGCCAGGTTGTTTCCTCTTATGACCGGAGAATCCCCCTTCTGGTGGCCTTTACAATGAATAATGGCGACCTTCCTGGGCAACCATATGGCCTCTAGGAGGGAGAGGATCTCTTCTCGATTTTTAATGTCCTTTCCTCCTGCAGTTAGGAGACCTCTCTCTCTGTAGATGGCCCCATGAATATGGGCGGTTGCAAAAGCATAACGGCTGTCAGTATAGATGTTGGCTACCTTCCCCCTCCGCTATCTCTAGGGCCCTGGTCAGCCCTATCAGTTCCGCTCTTTGCGCAGAGGTGCCTGCCGGCAACGCCTTCCGCCACAGGACCTTATCTCCTGTGGTCACTACTTCCCTCGTACCGCTGTCCATTCTTGATAAAGCTGCTCCCATCAGTAAAGAGAGTCAGGTCTGCCTTTTCGTATGCCTGATCTCTTAAGTCCGGGCGGGGAGCCAGTTACCGTGTCTAAGACTTGGGTGCAGCTATGGACGATCTTGGCATCTGGTATGGGCAACAGGGTAGCTGGGTTCAGGGCAGTAGTCTTGAGGAACTGTACCGCTGGAGGGTTCAGCAGCTGTACCTGATACTGCGTCAGCCGCGCATTAGACAACCACCGGTCAGGGGGGCCCGTAGGACCTGCTCGATATAGTGTTCTCCTATAACTTGTATGTCCTGCCCCAAGGTCAACTTGCCTGCTTCTTTAACTAGCAGCGACGTGGCCGCAATAGCTCTCAGGCAGGCTGGCCATCCTGACGCTACAGGATCAAGTTTCTTTGACAGGTAGGCTATAGGCCTCTTCCATGGGCCTAGAGTCTGACTCAAGACAGCCTGGGGCCGTACCCTCCTTCTCACACGATAGCTGGAAGGGCTTGGTTAAGTCGGGCAAGGCAAGGGCTGGGGCTGAGACTAAGGCCTCCTTCAAGGCCAGGAATGCTTGTCTCCTCTCAGTCCACGTGAAGGAGTCCTCCTTGCCTCTGGTTAGGTCATACAAGGGTCTTGCTATGTTCGTAAACCCTAATATCCATAGTCTACAATAGCCTATAGCCCCAGGAATTCCCATACCTGTCTCTTGGTGGTCGGTCGGGAATCTGTAGGACTGTCTGGATTCGTTGATTTGACAAGGCCCTCAGTCCTCCCTTCAGGTCATACCCCAGGTAACTCCACAGTTTGAGTCGCGATTTGAGCCTTCTTGGCTGACACTCGGTAGCCCATTCTTTCGAGGTCTCGGAGCAGGTCTCGTGTAGCTGATTCGCATTCCTCCTGTGTCTGGGCTGCCACCAAGATGTCATCTACATACTGGAGGAGGGACTATTGAAGGATGAGTTCTCCTGAACTCTTGGAGATCTTTACTCAGGGCCTCATTGAAAATGGTTGGTAAGTTTTTGAACCCTTGGGGCAGTCTGGTCCATGTGAACTGCCCCGTTAGTCCATTATCAGGGTCATTCCATTCGAAGGCAAGAAATTTCCTGACTCTGGGGGGCCAGAGGTATACAAAGAAAGCGTCCTTTAAGTCCAGAACAGAATAGTAGGTATGAGTCGGGGCAACGAGCTCAAGAGGGTATACGGGTTTGGCACAGTGGGGTGTATTGTCTCAACTCGGCGTTTACTTCCCTAAGGTCCTGTACCGGTCGGTAGTCCTGGGTCCCAGGTTTTTTGGACAGGGAGAGGGGGTGTTCCATGCAGACTGGCATTTCCTCAGAATGCCTGCCTCTAATAGGCGTTGCAAGTGCCCCGCAATCCCCTGCCTGGCTCGTGCTGGGACAGGGGTACTGTCTGATCCGGACCGGCTGGGCCGTACTGGTCAGCTGGGCCAGCACTGGCGGGGTGGACAGCTAACCCAGGCGGGTTTGTCTCCGCCCACACCCCTGGTACTTGCGTTTGCAGTCTCTTCAGGATCCTGTTTTCCTTCTCCTCGCCGTCCGGGAGCATCGCCAGCAAGTACTCTTTGGACAGAGGGACCGTCACCTCTACACTCGTCTCCTCAAGTGTTTCTGATGGCTTAAAGCTTATAGTGGCATGAAGTTTCTGTAACAAATCTCTCCCCAGTAACGGGTACGGACAATCTGGAATAACTAAAAAGGAGTGAGTAATAGTCCCTTGCCCCACGTTGGTGATCCTGGCAGTTGTCCAGGGATATGCTTCGGCCTTACCCGTTGCTCCTATAATCTTTGTGGTTGCCTTTTTGACTCTGCCCCCGAGGTTGCTTCAACACAGAAAATGTGGCTCCCGCGACCAGGAAGTCTACTGGTTTCCCTTCGACATTCAAGGTGACCAATGGGCTCCTGGGAGCCAACAAGTATAGAGCCCTGGCCCCGTCAATCTAAGGTTTGAAGCAGTACCAGGACTGACCTCCTTTGCCCGCAGTTTGGGGCAATCTTTCTTCCAGTGCCCCTTTTCCTTGCAGCGCATTGATCTTTGTCTACTCTTGGCCACTGGCCTTTTGACTTTCCTTTCTTTTGTTCTTTCTTCGGGTCTACCTGGGCTGCAATTAAGATTTTTGCTACCTCTTTCGCTTTTCCTATCTCTGGGTCATCTCTATTTATCTTTCTGTCAATCTCTAAAAGCTTGCTAATATTTTCTCTTTCAAATCCTTCAATCTTCTGTAATTTCTTTCTAATGTCGGGGCTGCCTGGGTTGCAAAAGCAATGTTCAAAAGTCGCCTGTTCTCAGGGGGCCTGGGGGGTCTAGTGGGGTGTACACTCGGTAGGCTTCAATTAACCTTTCTAGAAAACTGGCGGGGGACTCTTCTCTCCCTTGTACTACCTCACTAACCTTATTGAAATTCGTTGGTTTCCTAGCCGCTGCTTTCACCCCCCTCAACAGAGCCCGGCGATATTGGAGTAGTGCGTCCCTTCCCCCGCTCGTGTTGGGGTCCCAGTTTGGGGGTTGCTCAGGTAATATGTCTAATACTTCCCTCCTCCCCCCGCCGGTTTCCCCCTTCTTCTCCTATAACTGCCTTAACAGCTTCTCTTATGATTCTATCTCTTTCTTCTGAAGTGAACAATGTTTGTAAAATTTGCTGGCAATCATCCCATGTCGGCTGGTGGGTTCTAAATATGGTCTCCAACAGGGAAATTAATCCCTGTGGCTTTTCAGAAAACGGGGGATTTTGCAGTTTCCAATTGTATAGATCACTGGTTGAGAAAGGGACATATATTAGCCGCGGTGGTGCATGTAATGGGGCGTCTGGAGCCGGTGGCACCTCTCTGAGGGGTAAAATGGCGGCGCCATCCTGTCTTGGCGCCAAACTTTCACCCCCATACTGAGTACCGCCGCGGGTATGGGGAGGGCTCTGGACTCTCTCCCTTTCCCCGCTCGCGAGAGTCGGGCAGGGGTTGGCGATGGGGAGAGCGGAAGGGGCCAACAGCGGGTCCTCAGGTGCTTCAGGCAAGACAGGGGTATAGCTTCTTCCCTTCCCCGTCTGCCTGGTCCCTTGAGAGCTGGCACCCTTTGTCTGTCTGCAGACGGGGAGCCTGCCTCGGTGTCATCGCCACGCAGATGGCCCTTCTCCTCCTCTGCCCATTGGACTGACACCGGTATGTAACCGGGGCGGTCGTAGCTATGTCTACCCACACATCTATATATACCATCTGATCTGGATGGGGGGGTCCCATATACTATCCGCCTGACCGCAAAAAGGAGGGGGCAGATCAAAGTCCCCCTCCGTCGGCCATCCTACGTAAAAGACGGCCATTCAATTTCACTGAAAGCTCGCAGGGACTTCTGGGTCTGGCGGTGGACCCCCATAGCCTCGAGCGCGATTCTGAAAGTCAGAGAAATTGTTTGTAAGCAGTCAAGGGCAATGTTTGAAGTGGAGCTTCCTTGTCCCATCGCGGACGCCTTCTTCTCGCTTCTCACAGCGCCTGCGATTAGAAGGATGAGGGCTACCAATATCCCGCACAGAAACACACACCTCGCTCCTCTCCACTCAGTCCACTCACGCACAAACAGGCCATGGCGCACTGCAGTCTCTTCACTCATTCACACTTCGCTTAGCGCGTTCAATCGCGGCCGGAACGAAACCAAAAACCAAATGCGACCTGGTCGCGGGAGCAAGAGCTCCGGTCCTCGAGCGTCCTCTCATGAGAACCCCGCGGGTGGACTACCGGCAACGTCTCGCCTACCACCTCACGGCTCAAATGAGTCTAGACTCCCAAACCAAATTCCGCACCACACTTCCGGGCTTCGTTAGTCTCAGTCTCCGGAGACACTCCTTAGATCTCGCTGGGGCCTCCAAATGTTGTATTCAAGTTGCGAGCCGAAAGGAATCCCCGAACACTGAGAGCGGTTTGATGGTAAATTTATTGGCCAAGTTTTACCTGCGCAGGGCGAACTTCCCGAACGAGACGTGTCTCGCGGCTACGCAGAGCCGCCAAAGTGGAAGTCGCGCCTGGCTTACAGACTACTGGGTTTTTATAGGGGCAGGCAAGCAAGCAAGCAAGGGATACAGAAGCAGACGTGGCGGTTAGCTATTGGCTCAATCAAACTAGGGCAAAAGTTCCTGATTGGACTGCTGTTGGCGAGCAGCTGGTGTTGGCGCCTAAAAATTTCCTGGCCTTATTTGGACAGGCCTCTATATGCTAGCCTTACTCGGACAGGCCTCTACAAGGGGACCCCAGGAGCATCTCTGATTAAGAACTACAGTTGCACAGTAATTGTGGGATTAAAACAAATGAACTGATAACTAACATGAGGAGTGCTGTGGAATGCAGAGGAGGGGAGGGCATCCTGGGGGAGGTCCAGGAAGCTACTGGAAGGAGGTCGCTTTTGAGCGGAAACTAAGGTGGTGGGGATCTCGGCTTGCGATGGGGATCAGAACTGATGATAGCATAGTTCAGAGCTCTCTAGAAATTGGAGATGAAACTGGAATAACTGGTGTGTGTATGTGTGTGAGAGAGAGAGGAGGCAGTGCAGAGGGAAGAGTCTTGCAGGTCATTTGTCAGGGAATAAGCAAAGAAGCTCATGAGAGGAAAGGTATTCCCAAGGTATTAGCCAAAGACCCCAGAGAGTTCAGTGCCTTAAGGTAAAATGAACAAAAAGAACAACTATTTTGTGTAGAGAGCATGCAAATGGGGGCCGCCTGTAGTTCCGTGAATATGGCCATTGCCGAACATTTTGGTGGGAACGGGTCTGCAAAGTGGTAGGTAAGGAGGACAGGGCTCTGACCTCAGTTACCTGCGGAGGAGTTGGATCAAGTGACTGTCGACTCTTCTATGAAGTTTGCAGGTAAAAGGAAGGAGAAAGTAGGTCTGGTAGGCCAGGGGAAATCTGTGGTTAAAGATGAGCATTGACATGAAAACATTTCTAGTGTTTAGAGGTTGGAGCCAACAGAGAAGGAGATCAATGGGCAGTGAGGACAAATAATAAAGCAGGTTCCTGGAGGAGGTGGGTCCGAAACAGGAACGGCGAACCAAGGGTGGGTGCAAACGAGGACAGGCGGTGGGAAGATGAGTGAAGGAGAGTGTGCAGCCCTGACCAGTGTGGCTCAGTGGGGTGGGCACTGTCCCCTTACCTGAAAGGGCACTGGTTGGGTTCCCACTCAGGACTCATGCTTGGGTTGAGGGACAGGTCCCCAGATAGGCACATAGGAGAGGCAACCACTTGATGTTTCTCTCTCGCATCCATGTTTTTCTCCCTCTCTCCCTTCCTCCCCGTCTCTCTAAAAATAAATTAAATCTGAAAAAAAAGGTGCATGTGCAGATGACCTGACTCCATCAAAGAGAGGACAGGTGCTCTGGGACCCGGGAAAGGCGCCAGTGGGTTTAGGTGGAAGAGGATGGGAACAGCAGGAGCTCCCACTGTGCGTCCACCTGCACTTTGGAAACAACTGCTGCCCTCTCACGTGCTAGAAATGGACGAGTTTCTGCAGTGGCTGAAACAGGAATGTGAGGATTGTTATCAGAACCTGCTCTCAGTCCTGAGAGCCATCAACATTACCTGTTTAGGAGGGCTTTTTTTTTTTTTTAAGTTACTGGTAACTTGATTCCACTTTTAAGTTCTGAACTAACCCTGACTGGTGTGGCCCAATTGATTGGGCATCATCCTGCAAAGTGAAAGGTAGTGAGTTCGATTCCTGGTCAGGGCACATACAACAAGCAACCGATTGATGTGTCTCTCTCACGTTGATGTTTTTCTCCCTCTCCTTCTCCCTCCCTATCCTCTCTCTCTAAAACAAACAAACAAACTCTTTAAAAGGTCTAAATTAATTAATAAATTAACTGGCCTGGGGGTGGGTCCTAATTTTCAGTCTGGAACCCCATTGGCCAGCAGAAACATAGCGGCACGTGGCCTGCAGCTATCATGTGTGACTATGATGCTCAGCTCGGATGCCTCCAGATTACCAGGCGTGGACCATGTGCAGGATGTTTGGTTAGTCACAGAAAAGAGAAAAAGAAAAGGACTTTGCAGGGATCTGTGAAAAGTCAAAGATTATCAGAAAAGCATAAATCAGGAGATTTCATGAAGTCCGAGGCTGATCTGCACACTAGGTCATTCACTTACCTGTGAATTCCATCACCCAGCAGTTCTCTAGGCACCTGCGGCATGTTCGACGCCGCCTGCTACTGAAAATACAGAAACAGTGCAGACTTTCCCAGACCGAGCTGGACGGAAAGAGGGCGGGGAAACATTACTGTCATCTCTCGTTGTGAGCAGAGGTTAGAGGTGGGCCGCGGGTGCTCTCAGTGCCCAGTCCAGGGACATCTTCTGCAGTGACAGAGGTGGCAGAGAAGGTGGGAAGCTGAGTCTGAAAGAGGACAAGACGGGATGAATTATGGTGACATTCACCAAACTAGAAAATGGCACTATGTCAAGGCAAAGGACACAGCTCTGGGACCAACGTGGCTGCGAGAGGCTGCTAGTAGCCTGAGGGATAGAGTAGGATTATCAGAAGCCAACACAACTTAATAAAGCTACATTTTGCCATATCTGATGTCCCCCTATTTGGCTTTATTCTTTCGGAGTTTACATGCAGTATTCTTTTGTTTCAGTTTCAGGTGTGGGGCATACTGAGCCAGTCGTACCTCAGGAAGGGTTCCCCCCGATGCTTCTGGTACCCACCTGGCACCGCACATAGTTAGTACAGTAGTGTTGACTGTGTTCCCCAAGCTGTATTTTACATCCCTGTGCCTATTCTGTGACCACCCAACTGTACTTTTTAACTCCCTCACCTTTTCACCCAGCCGCCAACCCCCCTCCCCTCTGGCAACCATCAGTCTGTTCTCTGTGTCTATGAGTCTGTTTCTGTTTTGTTTGTTCACTTATTTTGTTGTTTAGAATCCACATAGAAGTGAAGTCATACGGCATTTGTCTTTTTCTGACTTATTTCACTTAGAGTAATACCCTCTAGTCTGTCCATGCTGTTGGACATAGAAGGATTTCATTCTTTGCTTACAGTACAGTAATATTCCATCGTTTGTACCACAGCTTTATGTCAACTCACCTGTTGAGGGGCACTTGTGCGGCTTTCCTGGCTTTGCTAGTGTAAATAATGCTGCAGTGGACATGGGGGTCCATATCCCCCTTTGAATTAGTGTTTGGGGTTTCTTCCTGTGTGTGCTCAGAAGTGGAATTGCTGGGTCATAAGGCAATTCCATTTTCAAATTTTTTAGGAGCCTCCATCGTGATCTTTATAGTGGCTGCACCAACCTGCATTCCTATCAATAGTACCCAAGGGTTCCCCTTTTTTTAAAAAAAAGTTATTGATATTAGAGAGAGAAAGAGGGAGAGAGAGAAAAGCATCAATTCATTGTTTCGCCCATTTGTGCATCCAAGAATCATCTCGGACGTGCCCAACTGGGGATCAGACCCGCAGCCTGTATGTATCAGGGCAGTGCTCTAACCAGCGGAGCTACATGGCCAGGGGGAGGGGTCCCCTTTCTCTACATCCACACCAGCATTTGTTGTGAGTTGATTTATTGATCACCATCAATAAATATGGGCCATTCTGATAGGTATGAGGTGCTATCTTATTATGATTTTCATTTGCATTTCTCTGATAATTAATGACATTGAGCATTTTTTATTGGCCATCTATATGCCCTCTTTGGAGAAGCGTTTATTCAGGTCCTTTGCCTATTTTTTAATTGGATTGTTTCAGCTGTGTTTTTGAGTTAGTTTGTTTTTTGGTGTTATTGAGTTGTAAGAGTTCTGTATAAATTTTGGATATTGAGCTGTTGTCAGATATATTTGGCTTTACTTTTGCTCTAACTTGCCTCAAATTGATTAATTCAACACATAATTAAAATATGATTAAAGTGTGTACCACATTTCCAATATCCTTGACAGGTGTTCTCCTGTATGTATGACCATGTGTATTTAAATACTGGCATGGTTGAACAGATGTTCATATTCATGACAGTGCGATTGCTGGAAGGACTCTTTGGAATTGATCTTTCACACTATTATCAGTAACTAAATAAGCTTACAGATCTTTTCTGTAGCTGTACTATTGTATAGTTTGTCTTATCTGGGCATAAAAAGCTTTCATTTTATTTTATTTCCAGGCTCACTGGCCCAGCAGGTGGCTCTTTGATGTTGCCTCTCTCAGTGCAGGTGGTTCCCTGGGTGTTCAAGGACCGCTGGGCGTTTGTTCTTCCTTTGTTAAACTGTGGAAGGGAACCTGCGCGGTGGCTGGCAAGGCCTCTGCAGCAGAGTGGCCTCAGGCTGCAGGTGAGTTGGCGAGGCCACTTCTCCACGTCTCACCTTTGCCTCCTCTTTTCTTCCAGCCACCCAGTGCAAGCACGGGGCTGTGTACGATACCTGTGGTCCGGGATGTGTCAAGACCTGCGACAACTGGAATGAGATCGGCCCGTGCAATAAGCCGTGCGTGGCAGGTTGCCACTGTCCAGCCAACTTGGTCCTTCACAGGGGGCGTTGCATCAAGCCAGTCCTTTGCCCTCAGCGGTGACCCTTGATCAGCAGCTTCAGACTTTGAAACCTGGTGTTCTTGACACTGAAGTGGAGGAGCCGATGAAGGACCACAGCATTTGTGTGCCGATTCTGCAAACATGCTCGCATGGAGTATATATGTGTACATATATAGATATATAGATATATTCAGAAACATTTCATCATTTATATAAACTATAGGTGGATTATTATATGTATATTTTTTGCTATAAGACATGTATTGTTTCTAGAATCCTAATCTGTAAGCCATTGGATACATTGTATAAATAAACCGGGTGTCTTTAATTTAACAAGGCAGCATGCAGACATATTGGAGGGTTTGAGCATCACCTACGTTGTCATTTTTAAGGAAGTTTTCTAAAAACCCTGAATTGCCTGCCTGCGTTAATTTTAGCTTTGAATCAGGATCTGCAGTGGAATGAGAAATGTGTCTCTCTGGAGAAGGGCAGACTAGTCTAGGGGTGCTCCAGGATTCCAAAGAAAGGGGTGCGTGCCTGGGAGAGGCAGCTGGTGGCTGGTGACAGTTCCTAACGGTGCATGTAAAGTGAGGCGCAGGGTGTCAGTGTATTGGGTCATGGTTTGATATTATTTTCCAAGCTGATGGGCTAGTTGCCAAGAAATAATGTACTTGCTACTAGAGCATAACCAAAAAAATCAAGCAGCTTCTTACCGTTTCTGTGCATTTCTTGTGTCTCCTAATTACATACGTGTGTATGGTGGACAGGCGTGCTTGCATGTCGCACACTGAGATGAAGGGACTCTCTGAGGGACACGTTAGTTTCACTGAGCATGAGCAGAGATGTGGAAAAACTTGCACAGTGAGGGAAAAAATAGCGGTTTCTCTGAACCTCAGCAATTTAGGATGGGCAAATCCGATGAGTTGATGTAAGCCATCCACATTCAGTGGTGGTTGTATTTGTAAAATGACAGCCTTTAATTATTTCTGGAGGATTCCCAGTTCAGGGCTACTTGGTGACTGTCCATACATCATACTTATTGGGCAGAAAGAAAGCCCTCACTGACCAGTTGATTTAACATTAGTCCAAACAAAGAATGCTCTGTATACGTGCTCTGACATCCGCGTAGGTTACTACTAGTCACCATGTGATTTTCCTGACTTGTTTTCAGCCAAAGAAGTAAAAATGTCAACAAAACAGAACCCACCAATGTCTAAAAATAAAATGTTCTGCAGTGAAGTAAATAAAGGTCTTAAGACTTAACACCAGGCATTTTCTATTTCAAAATGTGCTGTGTTGTACTTTATAAACCAGCTCTACCAACTTCGGGTTCACCGATCTTTCCCAGCTCTATTTAGATAGATTTTAGATTCTTATGATACTTTGTAAAGAGCGCTATTAATAGACAGCAAAATCTAAAATTTTTTAGAGCCAGCGTATTGCCATCGCTTGTTAAGACAGTTGTGTGTCCTCAACAGTATTCACCTTACATTCATGACAGCTAAAGGCTGACCTTGGATTTTTTACTAGGACAAGTCTAGGGGTCTGAGTAAACCGAAGAAAGCTCTCAGTGTAATAGCGACTGGCTGAGGAACCGGGGAGTGTGGTTGTTGGTGATCACTCGCGTGAGTCCTGGACACGCCAGGCCATCGCTTCAGCGCCACACCTGGAAGGTGAGCTTTGATTTAGGAGATGAGTTCCAGGTGTAGTTTATGACCTTGTTCATAGTGTTTAAGGATTTGGGACCACACTTTTGCTGACTGGCAACACAAGAGGCAGTGTATGGGTGGGGTTGAGCGTCAAGCCATCTGGAGACCCTGCCACTAGGGAGATCACTTGGCCAGAGACCCAAGACACAAACTGCAGTCGCACTTGGGGTCCCATTTATCCCCCACACTGCACTGAACGGAGGACCAGGGCCAGTCGGTGGACTTGTCCTGTTTTTCTTATTCTTTTTCTTTTTTTCTATTTCTTTAGATGATCTTTGATCCTCTTTAGTTCACTCTTTATGAAAGAAGGGCACAGAAGAAAAGTGATGCAGAAGAGGAAGTTGGTGGGTGGTTACGCACTGCCCATGACTCATGCAAGCAGTGAGTACCTGCGCCCAGAAGGACTACATGGCCTCTTTGCCGGTGCTGGCAGTCGGGGCCGCTCGTGGGGGTGGAGGACCGAGGCTCTTTTTCCCAGATCCGTCTCATGAATTTGGGCAGCTTGATCACAAGTTTGTGGGGCATACCGTCTCTGGGGTTTAGTTTAACCTTTGAACATCTTTTTCACTCCTAGTCCTAGAAGGAAGAAAGAGGTAGGGCACAGGGTGATTTGGTCCCAGGAATCCGAACAGCTGTCTGATGAGGAGGGTGGGGTGGATCAGCTCCCCGGTCCAGACAGCCGCAGGCTCTAGTTGAGCAGCGATTTTTGTCCCATGATTGATGATAATGGAGATGAACCAAGTGCTTCAGTGATGGGGCCCTACTTGGTTCACATGAGATATTTTCCTGGGTTCTCAAAGCCCAGCTCCCTCGGACTTAGATGACTTGAAATGACAGTGTTCTGTTTCTTTCATTAATATATGTAACCCAGGTTCTGTGAGATCTACAAAATTAATAGGTGGGTTCATGTTACTCTGTCTACAAGCATAAAGTCCCTATGCTGATTATGCTCTTAGCTATGAACATTGAACTTGATGAGGGAAAAATGCCCAGGATGAAGAACTATTGAGATTCTCATTACACAAGGTGCTCAGGGAAAGTTCTTTCCTCTCTTCCTGTGAAGGTAGGAATGTGTGCAGTTCCCAAAAGTAGGACGCAAATTTATCCTTGACACCGACAAGAGCAGTTATTTATTCAAAGGGTGGCACATTGAGAATCACCAACTCTTCAGGCTGAAGGTTTGTCCCTATGACCTCACTGGAAGTTTCCCCAGTGTCTGGCCACCAGACCATGAAAGGCACCTCCCAGCAAAATGAGAAGGACCCAGAAGGACTCATCCGCCAGGTTTCATTGCATGTGGATAAACCATTTTGACTGGGAAACTCTTTGTTATTATGAAATATTTCAGACAGACAAAAAGGTATAGAGAATAATGTTGCAAATACCCATGAATACATTAACCCTCATTAAGAAAAATAACTTGGTAGGGAGTTGGTCCATTTTTCTGGCATAAATAAAACCGAGCCAAGACACACGGTGCCACAGCTTGGGGTGGAGCGTCTGCTTGTTGGGCTTCTGTTCATTTTCCTGCTTTTCGTCACTCACACTCCCTGGATCTGACAAGCCTCGTGGATGTGAGCCGGAAAGCCCTCCGTGTGGGAGAGGATGCCTGAGGGGACAGGCGCCAGGATATTTTAATTAGCTGTCTCCTGCAAACATAACCCTCAGGAACAAGCAAAAATTGTCTCTGATTCTAAATCCTGGCAAACAAGCCTTTGCAGAATCCAGGAAAATCATTCTGAAAAATGACAGTGTTCAAGTGGCCAAGAATGAATGAACACACTGGGAAAAGGAAGGGATGCTGGTGATTATGCCGACCCTAAATTAAGAACCAGACATCTAGTCCTTCCCAGGGAGCTTTTAGAGTCCTGTTGCCTTCTATTAGATTTCACGAACCTGGTGGAATGGTAGGCAATGGCATGAAAAAAATTTAGTCCTCACTGCGGATCCCTTTCAGATTCATCTGGAGCAATCCAGTGTTAAAGTGACCAGTGTGAGACAGAAGGATAGCAGACCCTACATCAGCCTCAAGGGATACTCCTGAGTGAGCTCAGCTCAGCCAGGTGGGAAGGGTGTTCCAGGTGGGGTTTAGTTGTTTAGGGAAAGAGTGGCCAAAGTGCTGTATGTTATAGTGCACCCAGAAAATAACATTTGTCTGGGAGCTGGGGTAAATCGGCAGGGCTGCTTGCAGCTCGGACCTCTGGGTTGTCTGAGATGGGGATGTCTCAGGTCCTGTCCAACTGCTCCAAGAGTGGAAGGGATGCCAACCCCTGTCACCCACTCCCCACACTGCTCCCAGTGGGCTGTGGCACTGGGTGGGAAGATCTGCCCCAGGGCCGACCCAGCTAAGGGACAGTGTTAAGCAATAAAGTGATGTGACCAGACCTTTGTTGCAGCAAGTGGAGTGAAGGTGTCTTTGGTCAAAATAGCAGGTAGGAGGCCAGTGAGTCAGTCCTGGTGAGAAGTGATGAGCCCCCAAACTAGAAGGTAGGAAGTAGCTAAAAAGGGGAGAGTTCTGTAACAGATGGGGTGGCGGCTGGGCAAGTCTTTGGCTGGAGTGACGCACGACGATGGGACCAGCCTGTTACATGAGGAACGCTGGCTGGGGACCAGATTTATGGAAATTTTTATTGTAAGTCAATTGTTTTCTTTAGGCTGACATCCTGAACATTGGGGCTCAGAGATGGTCCTCCTTAAGACAGTCACCATCCAGGATGAATGGCTTATAAAACAGAGGGCCACACAGAGCTGACCCGGGAGACCCGGGAGTCTCTGGAGTCCGCTGGGAGCTTTTCTGCGTGGGTGCCCATCACAGAGGCTGGTCAGGGAGGGTGACTGCTGAGATGAGCCCTACTCGGCTGAATAAGCTCTACCTCTACAAGAACCTGAGTGTGTGTGAGCAGGGATGGTCCCGTCTGGGAGTGTAAGGCATGAGTCACTGTGTGGATAAGAAGACAGACCAGCAGCAAGCCAACAGGCTGGGGGTGCAGAGACACAGGGCTATGGAGACACAGGGTTGTGTCCTGCTAGGGTGTAATGGATTCACAGAGCTGTTCCGAGTTAATGGAGCTCACATACCCACCCTGAGGGACCCTTGCAAGGGTCCCTTGATTTTTAGTGCAGCGAGCATAGCAGAGCTTGAGGAAATTTTGGCACTGTGATATAAGCTCTCTTTGCATCTTGCACCTGGGTGACTTTCCTTGATGTGACTCCTGAGAATCTAGAAAGGGAAGGAAGTTGGAAGAGGCTTCTAATGAGGCTGTTGCCTCTGAGCTTCCGTGTTGTACTGCAGAGTGAGGAGGCATCCTTCAGACCCTCTGGGCACTGGTTTCTGTAACAGAGCTGGTCCAAGGTAAATGCATTTAATGACTGCTTTTGTTGACTGGGCTGTGGCCTGATGGCTGGGCTGGGGATGCTGAGGATCCAAACAGTTGAACCCATCAATGTCAGCAGTTCTGGTCACACCTACAAATAAAAGGCCTGAGAACACAGCTCACCCTGAGCCTCTGGTTGGAGCAGTTCTGTTATATTTCAGCCACTGGCGTTGTAGCCCACCTTGTGCCATAAAAACTAACATAAACGCCTTCTCCGCTTCCTCTGCAGGGAACTTGGCTTCCTAAGTAATTCCTCAGAGGGGGGCTTTCAGCAGTGAAATCTGGGGCTTTGAGAAATGTTTGCGGTGATGACAAAGTTTCACTTTGGCTCTGAAAATGTAAATACCATTAGTTATGTTGTCATTTTCACCATGTTTCTGCGTGTAATTGAAAGAATCAGACTCTGAACAGCTCCTCCTGGCTCGGGGGCTTAGGCAGGCAGGAAGGGGAGTGCAAGTCAGCGGGCAGCCCTGCTGATCCCCGGCGTGGAGCAGGCTGCCAGTGAACCTGGGGCGTGACGTGTCCCTTGCACATGTCTGTGAAGAAGGGCATTCAAGAGGTCCTCACCATGTGGTAGGGGACCTCTCTACTGACTTTCTTGTAGGCAGTGTGACAGGGGGACTCTGTCACAGGAAACCTGCTTGCTCCCTATATATCCACAGTGTATATTGCTCCTGTGCACCCCCAGAAGGTAAGGGGGCACTGCTTGACAACACTGAAGAGCATTCCTCTGTTTGATGAGATGGCGTTTGGGGATATCTGTCTTCACAGTCAGAACAGCTCAGCCTGTGCAATTTCATTTCCATCGTGCACCCACACAGCTCTCTTGATTCTGTCATTCTTTGAAATGCACTGAGGAGAATCCTGCCAATGGTCTGTGAATAGGCTAGGCCATCCCACTCATGACGCATGCACCGGCTCTTGGTGCCCATGGTGTCATGGATGAGGTATGAGACAAATTCACATGGACTACCGAGTCCTGTGGAGGAAAAGGGGTGGCACGGCTACTTCCTCAAGGTGGGAGCACCTCAGAATGGTCTGGCCACTCCCTCAAGGGGAGAACGTGCTGACCCTTTCCTGGACAGGCTTTTATTGGGTTTAATTTGTGCAGGAATATAGGTACAGCTCATTAATCATTGTCAGGCAGTAAGGATCAAACAATAGATAGCATGCCAAAGAACTATTAGGGTTTCTTCTGAGTCAGGGTCTATTAGCTAAAGGGCTACAAGACTTTGGGGAACAAACTCATTTCCTGCTCAGACCTTTATCATTTAACTAAGAGCATTCTTAGCAAAGCAGGCTTCACAGGATTTTTTCCTTTCTCAGGCCTGATCACCCAGGGAGCCCACCCTTTCCAGCACTGGGCTGCACCGCCCTCTGTCAAAGCCTAGGGGCAAGGGTCTATCATCCCCTTTCTCCATAGCCCACCAAGTCCTTCGCTGGGGCCTCCAAGTGATCATGCCTGTCTTAGGTTGTTCACCTCTTGGGGAATTTACCCTTCATTGGCTAACTGATCAAGCACTGGGGGCCAGTTATGAAAAAAGGAGCAGAAGCGGTGCTCCTGCCAGGGAGATAAGCTTTGTCTCCTTAGAGGCTTATGGTCCGAAGGGCGCTCACTCAGCCTTAGCCATGGGGGCGGGGCGGGGGGGGCGGGGTTACAGCTCCTGAAACCAGGTAGGATGGTTCCCAACACACTCAAAAACCCTGGCAGATTGATTTAGACCCTAAACCAGTTGGGGCTTATTTATTGAGGCTTTCCCATAGAGTTCATGGCAGGATGGTCTTACCCTTCCTTTGCTTTCTCTTCAGCTCAGGCCATAGAACAGTTGGGTTGCTTTGACTAAAGGAGATAAAGATGGCGGCCAGGAGAGCATTCCAGAGGGACTGGAGTGTCCAGCTGGGCTGGGAGGCATTGGTATCACCTGGACAGTCCCTGAGGGTAGAGTAGAGCCATCAGCTTCATCCTTCTGTTTGGGGATGGGGACAGGGTGGAAAGGCTTATTCCATATTAACTCTGTCTGAAGTTGCTAATTATTTCCTTCAGTTTGACTTTGGAGGGGCAGTGTCAGAGAACAATATGCCATATACATTTAAGTGTTGTTATCTTAAAAAAACTTGGGTAAAGCAATAACCTTCCAAATTTTAGAAATTTTAATTTTATCGGACTCAAGTGCTACTAATATATCTTATTGAATGTTAAAATTTTATGTTTAGTTGATTTCAAGTGAACATATTCGAATGCAATTTTCCAAAGCAATGCTTGTTTTTCCTTGAAATCGGGTCCGTGATTTATTGTGCGTATGTCTAGTTTATGCAGGCTATCTGCTTTGCAATAGCAAGTGCTTGTAATTTCTTGCCTAAATAATGCATATGCATATTGTTTTCCCCTCATGACATTTATTACTTTTAAACCAGTGTGCAACTTCATTTGTTCATGCCCCTCCGGGCATAAGCACACAATCCTGTTTCCGAAGAAAGAAGAGACCCAGTAGGGGCCAGGGAGAGCCTAGGGGGTGAACAGTGCAGAGGCTGCAGCTCCAGCCACATGTCTCTTTCCAGCGCAGCCCCACAGGGATGCATCAGGCTGGAGTCCTGTACATGTGGCTTTATCTGCACTGCCTTCAAACAAGTGCAAGGAAATAAATTCCAGGTCTCAGATGCTCATCCTCTGGACCGCACAGCCTGGCCCACTGTGTGCCTTTTATGACACATGGGAACAGGGTTCCCCGGTCTCAAAGCACCCACTGAGCTCCCTCAAAGCTGTGATCTGTCATCCAGATGTGTAGGCTGTTGGGGGGAGGGGTCAACTTCCAGATGGACCAGGCTTCTTGGCATGAGCTGGCTGGATGTAGGGGATTGTGTGACTCTGGGCTGACTTGGCTTGGAGCCTGGATGTGAGCATGTGCTCCAGCAGGCCCCCATATGTCATAGGCTTTGGTGGGTCCACGCCAGGGAGGGGGTTCCTACCCGATATCTAGGGAGCCTGTAGGAAGAGTATGGTTCCTTGTGCGCACGTTGCTTCTCTGGTAGGAAGAGGAAAGGCCTCCTTCATAAGACCAGAGGTTCTCAGGATTTCTAGCCAAAGATTGCAGCAGCTGGGTTAGAGCATACAGGGCCAACGACAATTCTTCCACTAGGAGAAACAGATCACAATGGAGCCTCTTGAGATTTTTCACCAGGAATTAAAACAAACTGTCAGTTCACCTATTCATCCGTGCCATCTTCCCTTCTACCTGTGCCCCCCGCCTTCACCTTTCAGTCTTGTCCCTTTCTGTGACTCCTGTCCTCTCCCTAACTGCCAGTGTCCCGTGCTTCTCTCTACCACCCTTCCCATCTCCATTCTGAACTGGCCTGGCCTCCCTGCCAACAGCATCTCATGTTCCAGTTGCTTCCAGGCAACTTTCATTTCTCAAAAAATGGAGCTTATCAGGTTTCTACCCCCTCAGGATTAATTTATTGAGAATGTATTTGAGCTGCTCTGAGGTCTGTGCAGTATCCGTGTTAGGTACCATGTTTTCATTTTCTTCTCTCGAGTCCTCTGGAATATAGCATCTTTGACCGGTAGCCTGGCTCTGCTGTGGGCATTGGAGGCCCTGTAGGAGATTGGAAGGGAAGCTGCATAGAGGGCAGGCGGCTATTCTGCTGGCCCCACAATGGAGATGCCACGTAGACTCCACCTCCATTCTGGCCTGGCTCTGTCACCTCTGACAACTTGTTGGTACTCCTTGTGGTTGTAAAACATTTCTTCTGTTTTCAGGTAGAGTGTCTATAATTTCTGATGTCAAAAGTCATTGAAGAAAGAAGGCATTGTCCCATGTGTCCTGTCTTGAGTGTCTGGATGCACATCCCCTTCTCTTGAAGTGTGACCTCGGCCATTTCCTGGTCACAGTGTGAGTAAATGGGCCAAGGCTTTTCCTTCTAAGGGACCTGGAGGAAATGCTGGGACCCTGGCATCAGAGTGCAACGCAGTCACATCAGCTCTGCTGCAGATCTGAAAGACAATGTAGTACAAATCCAACCGTTTTCTGATCAAATGATAACATATAAAATTTCTTGGTCAACCCTGGGCAAGATGGCTTATCTTTCAATCCACTTTCAGGGAATTTTAGTTATTGTTTGTGCTCTGGGGAGGGGTCTGTGAAGCCCTTTCCCCAACTCTGTAAAAGGAAGGTCTTTCTTTGCAAGAGGCGATCAGTTTTACCTGCCCCCCTTCACCAAGGGGATGGATTACGTGGCTACCCCAAGATGATTTTCTCATCACCAATAAGCGTATTCACGACACACCCACTAATGACGATAGAAATTCACTGCACCTTTAGGAGTCTTTCAGATAGAATTGTATGTTTCAGATGACCTTTCGTTGGAGACACAGACATTCTCAAACATAAAAACAAAACAAACCGGTTCAAGCTGCTTGTCAAATTGCAGAGTGGGAACCTCAGCTCAGTACAAATCGGCCTAATTAAACCTTATTAACATTGGTGCCCCAGGGTGAATTTCCCTCTTTTGCACAAAGGATTGCACCGCCAATTTCCACATTACAACACAGGCGAGTCTGAGGCTTTTATGGGTGATTTTCCAAATGGGGACAGCAAATGTGCCAGGGACTGCCTCATCTGAAGCACAGGGGGATGCCTAACTGCTTGGTAATTGTGGTTTTAATTTGGGCAAATTAAATGCAAATGAAAACAGAAGCCCCTTCCTGGTGCTGCAGTGTTTCTGTAACTGAACCTCTGGGTGGGGGTGGGGTGGAAGTGTTCCCAGGGACACCACTGCTCATCCGCTCCCCATCCCCCAAGTGCCTCTCCTCACTCTCCTGGTCTCTTGTCCTGAAACCCTGCGGAGGGTGGGGGGCGGATCTCAGCGGAAGAAAATGCTTCCATCGAGCAATGTCTGTGCAAAAGTGTCCGTGCTGACTTTGGATGATAAGCTCTCATTCTAACGGGACCGTGAGGGCACAGTCTCTGCTGGAACAAAATAAGGAGGGCCTGAAGAGCTGCCATTGCAACCCAGGGCATGTCACACTGTCCACTGCTTCACAGTTCATCAGCTAAGCGTCCCCCACCAAGGAAACAGTGGGGTCCAGAGACCTGATGTGCTGGTGGAGTCTGCAGATGCGGGGGTACTTGCCGTGCCCAACACAGGGGCCAATGGAAGAACCAGTGGCCCCGGCTCTCCTGCACACTGGGTTCCGAACTCCAGACTCAAGTCACCCAACTGCCCTCTCGCTGTGTCCACGGGGAGCTCTAACGGTCCACTCACGTTTTGGTCGTCCCTGCACTAACTCTTCCCGTCTGCCCTGCCCGCTGACCTCTCCCCTCCTGCTTTCCTCTCCTTTCAGTAAATGGAAGTACTTGTAATGCCAAGCCCCCTGCAAGGGCTTGCCTGAGGGAAGCCCACTTGGGGGAGGAAGCTCTGGGACAATAGTGAGAGGCAGGGAAGACCAAAATGGAAAGGGAATCGCATTCAAGGGAGTCTGACTGGGCTGCTTCCAGAGGGGTGCTCCTGGGGGCTCAGTCCACGGGCAGCGGTCTTCCCACACAGAAGAATTACCGAAATTCTGTGGCACACCAAAAAGTATATTTTTTTGCTGATCTGACAATAAATCAAGTATAATTTTGATTCGTTCACTCCAGACAGCTTTTGTCATGTTGGCTGTTGCCATTTTTTTTTCTTTGACAATCTACTGGAAAAGAGGTCAGTGCCCCCAATTAAATAGTGAGGTGTTGCCGGTTTGAAAGATGCTCGGGGCACACTGGTAGGAAACCTCTGCTCTAAGGGGACGTTGATGCTATGCACATGTTCCAAACCAGGGGTCAGAAGCAGCTGCTGTGCTGTGAACTTGCTGGATCTTCCTGGCTTCCACAGGTACCTGAATGCCCTGGGGCAGAAGGCAAGAGTGAAAGTGCAGGCAGCCAGGCTACACCTGAGGAAGCCCGTTGCCACAGCAACTGCGGGGATGAAGAGGTGAGAAGTTATGAGAAGACGCAATACCTGGGAGTCATCCTTGACTCCACACCTGCTCTTCACCTCAAACTCCACGCATCAGTAATTTCTGTCAACTCTTAAAATAGACCCCAAATCTGACCATCTCTCACCAGCCCCACGGCCATTGCCTGGTCCCACTGTTAACCCCTGTCTGTCTAGACAGTTCTAACAATTCCCTTCGGGAGCTCCCACTTGTACTCTTGCTCCCCCGTCCTCCCCCACCACACTGGACACACTGTAGGCCACAGCCGGGGAGAACCTTTAAAAACTCAGATCACCACCTGTCCCTCCCTCCTTTAAAGCCCAGTGAATACTCATCCCGGCTGGAATAAATCTCAGATCCCTTCTAAGAGCTATAAAAGCCTGCCTGTTTGGGTCCTTTGCTCCCTCTCTGACCTCATCTTGCACTTCCCCGCCCCTCCCTTACTCTGCTCCCAGCACTGGTCCACCCTGGCCTCTTGCTGTCTCACAACATCCAAAAGGGAAGGCGAACAAGTCAGTCAGTGCCTCGGTGTTGGCTTGGTAAGTAACTAGTGTAACATTTAAGGTCCTGGCTAGGGAGGCTGATGCCATGG